GAGTGCCGGCGCACGCGCGGTTCTCTCCGCCCGCCCCGCGGAGTCTCTGCGCACGCGCAGTTCTCTCTCTCCGCCCGCCCAGTCTCTGCGCACGCGCAGTTCTCTCCGCCCGCCCAGTCCCTGCGCACGCGCAGTTCCCGCCGCCGTTGCCATGGCAGCGGCGCCTGAGGAGTTTCCGCCATGAGCCTCCCCGAGCTGGATCCGAGCGTGACCCGACACTACCACCTCAGCGGCCGCCTGGGCAGGGGGGTGTGTGCCCGCAGGGGGTCTGCGTGGAGATCTGGGTGTCCCAAGGGATCTGTATGGAATGATGGGATGGAGAGGGATGGGATGTCTCTGCTCACCTGTGTGTGAGAAGTGCCAGGTCTGCTTACCTGTGTGTGAGGTGTCAGCTCTGCTTACCTGTGTGTGAGGTGCCAACCCTGCTCATGTGTGTGAGAAGTGCCAGCCCTTCTCACCTGTGTGTGAGGTGCCAGCTCTGCTCACCTGTGTGAGAGAGGTGCCAGCTCTGCTCACCTGTCTGTGAGGTGCCAGCCTTGCCCACCTGTGTGTGAGAGGTGCCAGCTCTTCTCACCTGTGTGTGAAGTGCTAGCTCTGCTCACCTGTGTGAGAGGTGCCAGCTCACCTCTGTGCTCTCCCCAGGCCTATGGCATCGTGTGGAGAGCCACTGACCGCAGGACGGGGCAGGTTGTTGCTGTCAAGAAGATTTTCGATGCCTTCAGGAACAGAACAGATGCTCAGGTGAGAGGTCACTGCCCCAAGGTGATGAGTGAGATCCCACCAGTGTTCCCAGGGCTCTGTGTGCCCATGAGGTGAGATCCCCAGGGCTCTGTGTGCCCATGAGGTGAGATCCCACAGGTGTTCCCAGGGCTGTGTGTGCCCATGAGGTGAGATCCCCAGGGCTCTGTGTGCCCATGAGGTGAGATCCCACAGGTGTTCCCAGGGCTGTGTGTGCCCATGAGGTGAGATCCCCAGGGCTCTGTGTGCCCATGAGGTGAGATCCCACAGGTGTTCCCAGGGCTATGTGTGCCCATGAGGTGAGATCCCCCAGGTGTTCCCAGGGCTGTGTGTGCCCACCCCCCTGTGCTAGGTGTTCTCAGGGCTGTGTGTGCTCACTGCACAGCTCTTCTGGGGTTAAAAGGGGCAGTAAAGGTCACACTGTGTCTCTCTTGGCTCCTGCCCCGGAGTGTTTGACCTCTCCCTGAAGTGCATCCTCTGTTCTCAGTCTGCTCTGGTGATAACAAAGTGTTTTCTCTTTGTTTCCAGAGAACCTTCCGAGAGATCCTGTTTCTGCAGGTAATGTCTGTGTTCCCTCTCCTCTCTGGTACCTTATTATCTGTGACCTTCATGTGTTCTCTTCACATTGACTTCCAAACGCAGTGATCAGTGGTCAACGTGGGCAAATGATCAGTGGTCAGTGTGGGCGAGTGATTGATGGTCAGTGTGGGCAAGTGATTGATGGTCAGTGTGGGCCAGTGATTGATGGTCAGTGTGGGCGAGTGGTCAGTGGTCAGTGTGGGTGAGTGGTCAGTGGTCAGTGTGGGCCAGTGATTGATGGTCAGTGTGGATGAGTGATCAGTGGAGGACAGAAGGATATCTCTCCTGGAGGAAAGAAGGGTGTCTGTCCTGAAGGAAGGGATCTTTCTCCTGGAGGGAAGGATTTCTCTCCTGAAAGGAAGGAGCCGTTTGGCAGCAGTGGGGGAGGGATGGAGGTTCCTCTGTACTTCCAAGACATTAAGTGCTCAAGAGCCTTAGGAACTTGCTCCCCTCCTATTTTGCAGCTCTCTCTGGGCTCAGGACAGAGGGATGGGGAGGGAAGGGATGCAGGAGATGCTCTGTCCTGGGGTGTTTGCCTGAGTCGTGTGTCTGCACACAGAGATTGCATGGCTTCTATGATCCCATCCCACCTGCATCCCGACCCCTTCCTGATCCCATCCCAGTCAGACACTTGGATATTGTCCAGGGAGGTGGTGGAGTCACCATCCCTGCAGGTGTTTAAGAGGTGATGGATGTGGTGCTGGAGGATATGGGTTAGGGTTTGGGGGCTTAAGGGTTGGACTCAATCTTGGAGGACTTCTCCAACCCTGATGATTCTGTGATCCCATCCCGACCCCATCTCCACCCCATCCCCATCCCATCCCACCTGCATCCCACCCCTTCCCCAACCCCATCAGGCATTGGGATATTGCCCAGGGAGGTGGTGGTGTCACCAGCCCTGGAGGTATCTAAGAGGTGTCTAGATGTGGCACTGGAGGATCTGGTTTGGGGGTTCCTGCAGTGACACGTTGATGGTTTCAAAGGTCTCCAACCCTGATGGTCCTAAGGAGCCTAATGGAACAGCAGTTTAGTGTTTGCTCTAGACAATAATGCAAACTGAAGTAGGTTATTGTCCCTCTGTGATTCACCAGCCAAACACTCAGTTTGGGTTTTGTCTCTTCCCTCCACAGGAGTTTGGAGAACACCCAAACATCATCAAGCTGCTGGATGTGATCCGAGCTGAGAATGACGAGGACATCTACCTGATCTTTGAGTCCATGGGTGAGACTTAGCATTGCAGCAGCCACTGACCTCCAGCTGGGAGTGATCCCTGGTCCCTCCCAGTGCTGTGCTGCTGGTTTCCCTGGATGTTGATGGTGCTGCTGATCCTCAGTGGTGCAAATACCTTCCTGGTGTGATGTGTTGCAGAGACAGATTTACATGCTGTGATTAAGAAGGGGAATTTGCTGAAAGACATCCACAAGTGTTACATTCTCTACCAGCTCCTGAAAGCAACTAAGTTCATCCACTCAGGGAACGTCATTCACAGGGATCAGAAGGTACATTTCGGTCATGGTCTGCACCCTTCAGTCTTGTGTGAGTACTGAATGGAACCACAGATTGGGTTGGGTTGGAAGGACCTT